AAAATTAAGATAGACTGGTATCGGCCGCCAAAACGTGGTTAATAATTTTAAAACATTATGTAGGTCCGAATTACGTAGGCACCGATATGTTTAATAATTTTTTAATTTTAACTTCATATATTACTTCATAATTTATTTCTATTTGTCTCTTTACTAAATCATTAAATCGCTTTTAATGCAATAAATGTACTCTAACCAGCAGAGTTTAAGTCGGTGCCCAAACAAAATTGTTATTTTTAGTGCTGTGGTATCACGTGCTCAGCGGGTTGATGGGAAACATCGTGACCTACACACACCTAAACACCTACAAATATTTTTTTTCGAAATATTAACAAAAAAATATTTCGAGGATGTGTGAAGTTCGCTAATGCGCAGTGTGGTCGCGTATTGAACTATGCCCTTCAACCTTTGTACAGAGATCTTTGCCCATCAGTAGGACATAAACTGTTACTTTAGGTTTTTTGTGTTTATAAGAAAATAAGTGTTCTAGATTTTTCCACTTAAGGCACTTAATTACATCGTTGTGCGTATCAGTTAAATGATAACACAGAGACATGAGATGATTGTTCGTTTCACAAAATATACCGTAAATGCGTACAACATGAGACTCGAAGGTAAACTGAGACTAAACTTCCATGGCATATATTATTACATGTAGTATCATTATTATTTTGGCAACACTGACAGTTCAGTTTCAAATTTGTTGTGTGAGGTTCCATACTTGCTGTCGTGAAGGATTTTTTACCAGGTAAGTAGTATTTTTTGAGAAATAGACATTAATTTGTTTGTGAAATATATTGTTGTACTACATATACCTCAGAACTCTGATAATTGACTAATAAGTACTGTGATTTAAATCGATTAATCAAACCCATCTTGTGAAGCATGTTCCCATAGACAAAAAAAACTCCATGTTTTAGACTATTTGTTAAATGTTGCCAGAATAAATTTAAAATTTCCGCAAACTGGACGCCTTTTATTTTTATGATGGAAAATTGAGACCATGTCTCAAATTAGGTGCTTATGAGTCATATTAGGTGCATATGTCTCAAATTTTATTCAAATCGTTAGTGGTTCAATTTCAAGTAATTATGATAATTATTGATACATTATTTTTTTTTTGTTTCAGTAATTATGTCTTCGCGAAGACGAAGAGTTCTCGGGGCGAAACCCTACCGAAATTATAGTGAGGACACTTTGAAAGCTGCTATGGCAGCAGTTGACCCTGGCATGACTTTGAGGGAAGCGGAAGAAAAATTTAAAATACCTCGAGCAACTTTAAATAGAAAACACCGAAGGCTACAATTAAACAAAGTCGGCCGTCCTAAAGTTTTCATTGAAGTTCTGGAGGAAGTCTTTGTGCAATCAATCATTACAGCTGCTGCTTGGGGATATCCACTATCAGGTTTAGACCTATCTTTACTCGTGAAATCACATCTAGATAGGCTAGGTCTAAATGAGACACGTTTCAAAGGTAACCGGGACGATATTGGCTGGAAGGTTTTCTACGGCGCCATAAAAGCACTTTATCTGTAAGGCTCTCAGAAAATATTAAACGCCAAAGAGCTGGAGTTACGCAGGAGACATTAAAATCATACTTCCAAGAATTAAAAACCACCTTGGAGGATATAGATCCGGCCGCAATAGTAAATTTTGACGAGACTAATATGTCTGATGACCCGGGACGCCAGAAAGTGTTGGTACGTCGAGGTATCAAGCATACTCATAAAATCATTGACTCATCAAAATCAAGTACCTCCGTAATGTTTGCTGGGACAGCGTCAGGTGTTCTGCTTCCACCGTACGTCGTTTATAAAGCGGAACATTTATATAATACTTGGGCGGAAGGAGGACCTCCAAATACAGTTTACGACCGATCTCGGAGTGGATGGTTTGACACTACAATATTTGAGGATTGGTTTTTGAAGGTCATTATTCCTTATGATGAATCGTTTAATGGCAGAGGACCCGTGGTTGTAATTGGTGACAATCTGAGCAGTCATTTTTCATTAGATGTGATACAAAAGTGTACTGACTATAATATTAAATTTGTTTGTTTACCGGCAAATAGTACGGGGTTGTGCCAACCCCTCGATGTAGCAGTGTTTCGACCATTAAAAATAAAATGGAGGTCTGTTCTGCTGTCTTGGAAGGAAAAAAATAGAGGAGTAATGCCGAAGCATGTTTTTCCGAGGCTTTTGAAGCAAACTCTGGATAATATAGAAAATATGGGAAAAAATTTGAAGTCCGGATTTGAAGCAGCTGGGATATATCCAATTAATGAAAAAAGAGTCTTAGATAGATTGCCTACACAGGAAGATCCAGAAATCCATAATAATGCATCTCAGCAATGGTTAGAAACGTTTAAAATGTATCTCGAAGATATGCGAACAAAAGAATGCAGCACAGCCCCGAAGAAAAAAAAGGTGGCAGTTATTCCAGGTAAAGGTGTAACAGTGGAAGACTTATCCGAATCGTTAAAGACTAAGACGAAACGTAATAAAACGAAAAAACAAAAAAAAAAAGATCGTCGATGATGAAAGCACTTCCTGCAGTGATTTAGAAGAATGAAGGGAAGCAGTTTTGAATACTGCTAACTCATCATCCGATGACAATAATGAGTTCGACACAGTGTTTTTTGATAATGTTCATGACATGTTTCCTGATGATGATGAAAGATCGGCGTCACCACGTATAACTAACATCCCACATAATGAGAACCAAGAAAATGAAGATCCACTCAATGTAGACCAATCGGTCTATACTGACGAACAATTTAAAGTTTCTGTACCTAGTGATGGTGGTACTGGTTGCTCTAAAGATATCGATACAGAAATTGTAAATAATTCGGAGATTTCACCAGATTCTTTTGTTGTTGTCGAATTACTCTACAATGAGAATACGAAAAAACAAACTGAAAAGAAGTTTATTGCTCAAGTTACGAACATGGTTAGCGACGGAAAAGTGACCTGTCGCTTCATGAGATGTTTTTCAGCTACAAAGGGTATTTACATATTTCCAGCAGTGGATGACATGATGACAATTGACACTTCTCGAATAATAAATACAATTAAGCCCACTCAAGTGAAAAGGGGAAAATACATTTTTAATATTAATATTTAATTATAAGACTAATAAAATTGTGTAAAATAATATTTTTTGTGCGCACTTCAAAGCGTAGGTATGCCTAGGTATAGCCTATGTATCGCAATAAAACGTTCCTAATAGCTTAGACTCCAATTTTGATCTCAATGTTTAAATTTTATTATAAGTTGCAAATGTTATTAATTTACTTAGTGTTAAAGGCTAATTTGAGACATGTGGGCAAATTGAGATCTCAAATTACCTTCGGTCTCAAAATCGAGATTTATGTTGATTTATTTTTTGACGATTTATGAAGAAGTTTGTTTTTTGTTTTTGATTTTATATAATTTTTGAAGAACTAGTAAAAGATCTGGTAAGATTTGGAGATAATATTTTGTTTTATTTAATACCTCTAGTTATAACTGATTTATTATTTAATTTGCTGATTACTGATTTATTATTGATTTATTATTTAGTTTTAATTTGCGCAAATTCAATATTTTGTTATTTTTTAACGTCTCAATTAACAAACATTGAAATTCTACATGGGAAACCATGACTTTTATAAGGTGTCTTATGTTAACCGCATGTTGCAGGTAAATTGAGACAAGACGAAATAAATATATATAAAAAAAACTACATTGATTGGCTCAATATTGCAATATGCTCCTATTACCTTAGATAGAGACTCATGTTCTAGTAAAATTTCAAACCATAATTATTAAGAATTACACCTTATACTGTGAATTGAAATTGAAACCTGTCTCATGTTGTATGCATTTACGGTATCACAAATGTATACGAACATGACTGCTACAAAAATGTTGTTCTTCTTCTTAAGGTGCCTCTGCAACCAGGGAAGGTTAGCTATCAGCTTATTAAAGTCTTACTTCTTTTTAGCGTCGCGGATCAAGGTAGCTACGCTAGCTCCGTTAAATCATCACTTCAAGGTGCTTTTCCTCCGAAACTATCATTGAGACATTCAGGTGCATACTCTTGACACCTTAATCGTAATTTTCAATGAAGATAGTGGTTAAAAGAGCTCATGACATTAAAATACGATGGAAAAATTGAATGTAATCAAAGCAATGTCTTATTTATATTTTTTAATGAAAGAAGTGGGAAGCTGACCATGAATTGAACCATGTGAGTATTCATGGACAATAGCATAGTTATTTTTAATGAGTTTAACAAAACTTGTATTTTGGTTAGACAATTGTTTATTAGACTAAATTAGGACAAAACTTGTATTTTGTCAAGTCTGCAGCTTGATCAATTTAAACGTAAAATCAAGTCAACTTATGGTTAAAGCATATTATATACCATTGCGGAATATCTCGACGACGCCAATGTGTGCAGTTAATACTGTTGACACTCACGTAGGCTAGAATAAGACTATTATACCGGTATATATATATATAATTTCTTATGTAAAATTTGACGATTCATAAGAACGCGCAAGCGTCTATTTGAATAAAAATATTTGATTGATTGATTGATATACTTACATATACGACTTAACTAAACGTTACATTTATCTATTCATAAAAAATAAACATCGTTTATTACACAATTCAGCTATATTGTAATAATAATCTTTACTATTCTATGAAGATTTGTTCTTAACTGAACAGCAATTGTCTAACAACAAAACTTATTTCGAAATCTGCACAAGAATAGTCACATCGATCTATCATAATCAACCTTTACCTGTACTTATTATCTGAATGACCTCAGGACAGTAATAACACAGCGCCACCGATCTGTACTACATTCAGCTCATCTTTTGAAAACAACGCCATCTATTAAGCTTCTTCGTGTTTTGTAAACAGCACCATCTCGTGTGAACTTTTTCATTTTAAAAACAGCGCTACCTGTTAGCGTTTGATTGAAAGAGATCGGAGACTAGTACTTACCGCTCTGCGTTTCTCAGCGCTCTCTAACGGCACCGTCTGACCCGGTATGGAGGCGCGACCTCGGAACATTTCCATAACTTTCGCCATCGCGCTCGGCCGCCTTGTCTCCGACACGGTCAGCGTATGGTAGTACTGCGAAGGCAAACATACATTGTTATGTACAAAAAAAAAACTGCACGGGTAAATATGACCATTTAAACGCAGTTGTTTTTAATAGCACAATCTTCATGAGACGAGCTCGTTATATTTTTCAATTTAGTTTCCGATAATAACCTTACACGGAATAGAGCTGCGATTGTTTTTAATATATATATTGAAATAAATACACATTTACTACAAAAAATCGGATCAACAGTGAAAGTTTTCTTTACATTGTACAATTTCCTAAGAGTAACGGAGAAAGGCTTACCAAACATATTGGTGAAAATCACAGCAACGTGCGCGACATATAACCTGTTTTATGTAACTTAACGTGAAGGGATTACTTAAAATTCAATTGGTACGTACTCTCGAATCGCTACCCGGATGCGGGTGTGCGGAACCATCTTTGATTTTGGAATTGGACGTCGCGGAAGCGCCCTGTTTTTTTTCCGCCTCCGAGAGGCTGTCGTGCTTTTGCGCGTCTTTGCCCGCAGAGCCGGATTTCGTCATGCTCTAAAATAAACATTGGTACATATTGAATCGAGTGGTACTAACATATTAACATTTAAGTGATGTGTTTAAAAATATTCCTTTAGCTTATTCCATTCGACCATAGATTAGTATATTACTATAATTATTTTTTTATTAAAAAAAATTAAATACATTAAGATACTTTTCGTCATCTCATTTATCATTAACAAAAATACTGTTTTTTTGTCGATGTGTAATATTAATATTTATTGAACCAAAAATATCTATAATATTAAAAACAAATGAATTTCAGTTACTTCTTGTATAATAGTCTGATACGAAAGCAGCATATAAAAACTTTATATTATTAATAAAAATCCAATGTAGTACCTGAACGGCAGCCTTGACTTGTTGCATAATGGATGGCGGTTTCTTAGAGTCACCGCGCGGTTTCGATTTGAAGAGGTCAAAAAGGGCGGGCCGCCTGCTGACTCCGCTTGTGCCTTTAGAACAGATTTATCTATATAAATACATAAAGCACATTTAAGGCATTGAATTGGTACACCTAATTCAGAGCTCATTTCAGGGCCGGGTTAGGGGAGGGCAACCGGGGCTACAGCCTCCACAAAAGATGGAACCATAAGAGATATTTGGAAAATAAAATTAAATAGTAAACAATTTTTCCTTTCATATTTTTTTCCCATTTTACCTTTACCTACAGTACTTTTATCAAAAGAAGAAAAAAGCTCAGAAAGTTCCGTTCGTTAACGTTAAAATATATATAATTCTTGTTTCCGATTATATTTATATATTCATTGAATAATAAAAGAATCTATACTAGGTTTGACAATAAATTATTCATTGGATAAATCGACTGAAAAAAAATAGTTAATTTTATTTAGAAAATAATTTGGGGCCACTCCTTTGCTGCCCCGAGACCTCCAGACCTCGAAATCTGTAATTTTCTAATAAATTTGTAAAGATATGAAAGAGACTTTTATTGGGATTACGCGTAAAATCTAGATCTACACCATTCTTTGATAACAGGTGGTTTTAATTTGTGGTAGTTGCGACAGTTTTAATTGTAGCCAGGCAGCAAGTTCTGCTGACCCACGCCCACCCGAGGAAACGACACGGCCGTGCAGAAAACCTACTTGGAGTTGGAATTTTGATACTTTAGCGTTACGCCTTTGACCAAGATGGCTTAGCTGAAGCCTAATCTATTACAGGCAGACAGCGCCTTCACTCATGGGAGCACCGTAACAAAAAATGGGTTTAAAGTCATGCACTAACCTTCGTAGAGTATAGAGTGACTGTCGAAGGAGTACGGTGTCCGTTTCTTAATAAGAAAACTATCCTAGTGGCGAAACGAAAACGCTTGATAGATGCACCCACACATACATATTCAAAACGCCTCCAAAATGCCGTTTTCATATCTCGAAGGATTACGGAGTGATGAGTTTTTTATTACCACTCGAATCTACAGCCAGTGCTCACTATCGGTTTCCCCGTCCGGTAGTAGCTAGCTGACCTAACATTACCCCGCGACAAGTGTAACGCACGGGCGATACAATCTCTTATGTAGAAAAGGGGAGAGATTTTGGAAATAAGAAAATCCTGCACTGGGAGGATCTTCCGCACAATGCGAGATGCTCATCAAAAATGTAGAACGCATAATCAGCTGACGTCAATTAGCAAACCAATTTGAATAATCCATTTAATTAGGAAATCTAAAAAGAATCCAAACATTAAAGACAAAAAGCTCATACGCAATAAGTATTGTCGTTTAAATTTCTTTACCCTTGAAATAATTTTATGGAATACAGCAAGTAGCCTCAAAAGCTTTCTAATACGATGGAGATTAAATAGCAATTAGTTCGCACAGTTAATTTACCTATTAGGGAACCGACAACTATTAACAATACGCCTTCACAAAAACAGATAAAGACGTTATATTTTTCCGCTTGACGTCATCACAACTAAGGCTTAGTGGTGATGACGTCAAGCTTACACGTACTTATGTAGTAACTGTGGAGTAAATATGTATAGTAACTGTTTATTGAATAGTTCATAAACACTCGTATGCAAGTATCATATCAAGTAACGGTATTCGCCATTTTGCTGTTGTCAGAGTAGCTAATCAATTTTCAATAATAACAAATTGATATCCTAGACACAACAGCGATACAATCGATACCTACACATAAACATATCATTCGAACATCTATATGCTAATGTAATAAGTAACATTGTGTTTTGATCGTCATCCGTCTTCATCACCTGAATGGCCATAGTCAAAGTCGCATGGGAAACGTAAATGGATACAGGGACGAAAATTCCAATGGATGTTGCATAAAAATTTGGGCAGTATGAAACGCCGTTCGTTAAAGTTATACCACGTGATCGACAATTGATCTCGATACGCCTCACATAGTGAACTCAGCGGTAAACGCAAATCTTTTAACGTATCAATTACAATTTCGTTACTCGTTAAGTGGAAAACGAGTGGACGTACCGTCACGTACTGATGTCTGTTGCCAACCAACATGGACCTTGGTTACCTATCCAATGTCATTAATAAATACTTGACATAATTTTAATTTTACACCGGTATTTTATAATTTATACTCGTCCTGAGACGAGCTGACTGAAGTAAGCAGCAAAGCTGCTGCGTTGTTCTACCATAGTAAAAACCTAAATCGAGTCTTAGTAGATTTAAAAAAAACTTCAAAGTAAAAATACCGCGACCTCGCAGAAGACCGGTGTAAAGTGGAAGTATTCTCTTCTCTTCTCTAAGTACTTCTGCGTTTCGTCTTGTGAGTGAGGTCGCCGGAGCCTATTTTATTAAAGGGCAGCAACGCATCTGCAACCCTTTGGGTGATGCAAATGTCAATAATGGACAGCGATTATCACTTAACATCAGGTTAACCGACAGCTTTTTTGCCACCTTTCACTTTCACATTCTCTCTCTCTCTCTCTAGGTCTCTCTCTCCTCTAGACTCTCTGTCTTCTAGTGCTTAATAAGAACTGCGACGCAAGAGTGCTACGAAGGCAGTCGAAGCAAAAGTGCGTTTTAGTGAGGAGATAAAGTGAGATATATTACCGTGTATTGTTTGCTGGTACATGTAGTGGGGCTGGCCCTCGTCCGCAGAGCCCCTCCGCTTGCGTTCTCCCACCGACTGGGAGCTTCGAGTGATCGCCGCATCCAATCTTTGCTCTGAAAAATGGCACGCTATCCGTCAGCGATGCAGTCGATACCAGAGACAGTCGTTGCAGACCCAATATCACTGGATCGTATTAGTAAGCGTAAAAACGGACAGTTAACTAATAACAAAAATACCTGCACGCACTTTGTAAGCTTCGTGCGAATCTGATCGAAAATGTACAAATTATTTTATCACACAACACTTTTTTATGTGAACAAGCGGTTCACACGATTTTAAGTGATTACCGCAGCCCGTGAACTTCTACAATGTTCCTGCTTTCATCGGTTGCCAGCCTCCAAAAGTTTGGATCCAGCTTTTTATTCGTCACTCACGAAAAAAAAACTGGAAGGGTCACCTCGGTCACCTCGGTCTTCTGTGAGTATTAGCATATCCCCAGAAGAGACTGCCCATTAATGCAACAGCCGAAGCTGATGCTGCCACAATAAGACATCCAACACCTACTTTACTACTTACCTACCTCTACCGTCGTATACGTCTACCGTCTTTTAGGCTAGCCATATACGTTAGTCATAAGTTTTAAATTCAATTATTATTGAAAATAATTTAGAACCTTTTCTTACATCGATTGCTAATAGGCAGAACGTACTTTTCTGAACTGATAATATTCCATTATGGTTTTCTAAAAGATGTTAAATAATTACAGAGCATCCGTGAATTATGAATGCTGTATATCTAATAGATATGAGATATGAGATCGGGAATCAAATCTGTGTGAATGTACAATTTCAAAGTAACGAAAATTTCACTTCTCCGGATTACCTTCGTGACGAAAATCAGTCGCTAGTTTGTGTAAAATGAATAACCTTATATCATATAATATATGATACAACAATAAATAAGTGATAATAAGAAACCACCGCTCATACGGAAAAAAATTCTCATAGCCGTTTATTCATTTATCGTACACAAAAAAGAAACGCAGTTTAATACTAAATTTATCATATTTAAGAATTAACTCGCATCATACGATAACAGTGCTATTGTATCGCAATTTTTTCGTTTCGCTTTAAAAAGATTGGAGCCGGTTTAAAGGAGACACTAAATCTTCAATTTACCATAGTATTGGTTTAAGGATCACGGCAACTGCACTATTGTTACTGATTCCGCTAGCTTGTATGTTAATATCCTCATAATTTTTCATTTAATCAAGGACTAAAATTAGTAGGTGAAGTTTAATATTTAAGCAGACTGAAAATAAATATTATATTCAAATATAAAGAAGCAAAATAATGCTTGGTAAATAGAAAACAACACGGATATAAAGAAATGAATAGAAAATACTCGGCCGAGTTACGCTAGTGGCGTGGCGAATGAATGCAGTTATAATTGCGTACACACCATTATGGCATTGATGTACTGTAACCATAAAGTTATGATCGTAGGCAAACATGTTATAATGTCAAATAGGAGGTATAAATGAGACAAATGGGATTTCATTTAAATGTTAAACTAAGGTAAACGACTAAAATAGTATACTAACACAATATACGCACGAAACTTACAAAAGTGTCCAAAAGTACGAAGTATACGATGCAATAATGAGCAAACGCCATTGGTATTATGGTAATAAAATTATTCACATATTGTACCGGTACGCGTTATGTGCTATACAACAGATTCCAGTATCCGTCATAACAGCACTTAGTGATAAGTTTTATCGCAATAATGATGGATATTTGCGAATTATTAGCAATAAGTGACATAAATTTTATAAGCATAATAACGTACCGAAATGGAAAGGTTATTTTTGAACACAGTCCGCGTACATTATCGAACGCTATAATTAACTTAATGTTCATAATATTATGATTGTACTTTGATATAGTCTGTTTGTTATTGGAGACTAAATAAATAGGAAGGCGATATAAACACTTGAACATGTGATTGTAAGATATTGATAATAATTTGTAACAAACCATGCAGAGTTTAAGATACATATTTACAATGTCCTAATGGAATTGGTCATGATTTCAATAAATATTAGTTTGTTTGTCGGTAGAAAAGAAGAGAGTGTTTTGTGAAGTCGAAAATATGATTTTTACTTTAAAGCTTTCTTTACTTTGTAGTAAAAACATCATTAACTATAAACTATGCATATCTTTAATGTCACGATTTATTACGTAGCGTTGAGTGATTATTTTGCCGATGAATTTTTACTATCGGCGAACCCATAGCGCGGGAGCTGGCGGGGCGCCAGCTATCTAAAAAGCATATGGGCACACTCTGGCCAAACGCTGCGCTACGTGAAATCGCACATTCGCTATTCGCTTTAAATAAGTCTAATTTTAACACTAGCCGAACAACCCATTAGTCCTTACAGTCCAACAATAGACGAGACAAGTTGTTTACAAGCTTACTGATGCCAGAGCCTAGGCAAATGTTACATACATAACATAAACATACATTCACACACAACACTTTACCATAGGCGTGGGCAGAGAGCGCATATCTTAACGTCACTATATTCTAATGGAATTTTGTTCTTTTAAATTGGTTTTTATCCGAAGTTTTCCTAATGAAATAAAAATTATATTAAAAAAATTCTTACCTCGTTTATATCGCCTATCATCACTGTTTCTTCTCTCCTTATCCTTCTTAGGATTCATTTTCTTCACAGCCTCTTTTTCTTTGTGCGCAGTCTGTGAGCTCCAAGTGCCGGATCGGACACGTTTCGGTTCTGCATTTCTATCAATATTGTCACCCACTGGTTGTTTCACCGGTTCAATAACCTTTGTCTTAGTCTGTGTTGTTTGTTTGGGCAATTGCTGCTGAAACCATTTGAAAATGTTAATTTCAGTGTTCGCTTATGCCTCTTCAGAACATCGCTGTGGTAATCTGCTGAACCACCACCGATTTATTACTAAGTAATCGTTTCAATAAATCATTTTAAATAGTACAAATTTTACCTTAGTATCCTCGGTCCGTTTAACCCAAATGTCCTCCGAGCTCGTTGGCACTCCGTCAACCGTTGACCTTATTTCTATTAAACTACTATCGAAATAATTTTTATCGCGGTGGAGATTCTGTCCCGTAAAAATAGACCTGACACTCGGCCTTTGCTCCTCTGCCCCCTTTGTGCCGAAATGCACCGTGTGCGCATTGTGGACTTGAGAGCGCAGTGCCTTCTCTAGCGGCGCGGGGGCGGGTTCGGCTGCGGTCACGAGGAATTTGTGTTTCGCCCCCATCACCGTGCGCTTAGAAGGTTCCTGTTCGTCGGGCGAAGTGTCACCCTCAATCGCTGGCGCGTTGTTTACCTCAATATCTTTCGCCATGCCGGCGCTTGCGTTGTGCTCTTTGCTGGCGACATCTGCTTTGGTGTCCGATGCGACCACGGAACTAGCTTCAATAGAAGGCGACCTAGCGCCCTCCTTCTTCTCCTCATCCTCGTCCTCTTCGCGACACTGGGAGAGACGGCGGCGCTCAACGAACGGGAAGGGCGAGTTTGAATTGCGACTTGAAAGGTTATTGCAATGGTTCATAAAGTAATGCTGGAAGAAAGTATCGGTTTCAGGGGTGTCATTGCTATCGCCCTGTATAATATCCTTCAGGGCTGCCAGAGATGTAATGGTGTTGTAGTTGATTGCGTTAACTAAGTCCTCGCTATCGGTCGAGCTCCCAGATCCGCTGGCCTCGTCCATACTCAGTTTGCCAACTCGTTCACACACTTCGTCTATAGTTACGCGCGGGACCTCTGCACTCTCCGTCTCCATTTCTTCCTTCTCCTCATTTTTGTATACGCTATTATTAACTTTAGCATTAAAGTTCGATTCAGCTTTGGAATCCATTGAACAGCATTCGTCACGTTTAACGCGTTCAAATTAATTATGGGCCGGGCAACTTATACACTTTGCACAAGTCAATTCACATAGTCACATGTTAATGTCTACATCCACACTGCCATTTAGGTGATTTCAAAAGAAATTTTCCAACTTCCGTCACCGAATGGTCGACATCCCTTCGCAACTGCGATGTGGGCACATTCCAATAAACGTTTAACAGATCTGAAAGCTCCTTTTGTTTAAATGATCACACGCCTCTTTCGCTTTTGTTGCACCTATAATGAAGTACAATTCACTTATAATTAATATATCGCATTACCTACGCATATTTAACTAAATTAAAAGAATAACAAATACTATACCGTACACATTATAAAGATCAAAAACTTTATCTTGTTAATGGTAAAAAGTTTACATGAATAATAGCAAATTTAACTACCATTTAAGCAGCATTTAAAATTAAAACCAAAAAAGTTAACGAATCAAACAAAATAGTCACCAAAATAATAGATGTTTGACCTTATAGTGAAAAATTTTGCATATAATTTGCATGGGTGCACGTAGAGAAATCCCTTTTACTTACAAACTCTTTAATTAAAAATCGACCCAAACTGAACCAAGTGGTAAGGAAAGATTGTCAGTTTATATATTTAGGGTTATTTGAGATGACATAAAACGTACCAAGAACTGACGGTTTTAAAGAACAGTTGGCGAAGGAGGAAACAGAAAATTAAAATAAAATAAATGCCTGTAGTTCCCCAGTAAAATAAGTGTTATATAACTCTTATAATGTAACCCATGCCATTTTACTTGCTTACATTTGTCATAAAATTTTTAAAATATATGAGGAATACTTTACTTATTTATTCAAATTAAATGAATACATGAGCACGGACAATGAAAATGTTATCATTGTTCTAGTTCTAAGAGAATGAATTAAATGAATTATTATTGACCTGTCGTAAGATATTTCATACGTCTTCAAAAACCATTAACTTCGAATGTACTGGATCGATTTTTTTAAGTTTGGAAGTATGTATAAAAATGTGAGCTGACCAATCACAGGCCTAAAGTACAAGTAAACGGGCTCCAACGTTGGTTCGTAATAATTAAGGTGGTCGTGTGAACAAAATGCAAAAAACGAAATACATCCATTGACGTATAAAGTGAAAGGACCCCGAAATCAGAATTATTTAATGTTTTAAGTAAATTTCACTTAATTTCCCCCTCAATGTAACGGTATTGACTACAGAAATGCAATCTCTACTTTAGCACATAATTTAAGTTGTCAAGCGAGCACAGGCGGTTCACATGAAGTGCATACTACCAATGAATATCTACAACTAACGAGAGATTGCAGTTGCGTCGACAACCTTAAAAGGGGGCCCGGTTACCTCACTAAGCAGACGAAACGCGAAAACGCGTTTAATACTTCCACTCCACGCCGGTCTTCTGTGAGGTCGTGTTATGTATTACTTCCCCGGGCGGGCCTGCCCATTCGAGCAACAGTCAATTCGCTGTTACGTGGCCCTATCACATCAAATAAACAATTTTTCGAACTTGAAACTAATGCATCCTTGACTCCGCAACTAATGGCATTGTATTTTGCATAGAGCTAAGCTTAAGCGAATAATCTTGACGGGGTTAATTTGTCACCCAATCTTTCTCTCTTTGAACAGCCACAACTTCGCACAGTTAGGCCACAAGTTCGATTTTCATTTAATGTTTCCAGTTTCATAGTTTATGGTATCGTAAATTTCCATTTGGCCTTTTCATTAAAAATTATATGTAACGCGATTTTAACTTCAACACTCTTAAATGAGTAACATAATGGATGTAACTTTGTATGTAAATCCAAACGTAAACTAGTATATGGTTGAAGAAAAATAAATACACATTCACTGATCTATTAACTATTATGGCCTATTTCGGGTAGGTAAGTAATATTTGCAAACACATATAAAATGGTATAAACGATGGCCCAGTGGCGCTGTTACTAAGCTATTGGGCGAACAGGTACAGGTTCGATTCCCGCACGGGATAAGTGTAAGTATCTAGATAGATATCTGTGGGTCACACAAATACTTATCTCGTGCCAAAACCATGAGGTTTTTCTCAAGGAGGGTTGAGGTCACGCAATCGTAATAAGCTAGTCACTACAAACATAATTCTTACGGGCAGGGACGATAGTTTAAAGTAAAATGGCAAAATAAAGTAATAAAATTTTATAGTCACTCTCTGTAAAAAACGAAGAGAAATTTATGCAAATCAAAATAAAGGCATAAATAGAAAATGTTTTTACTCATATCATATAGGAGTTTATAGCTACATGAGACAAATTTAGAAGTGTTTTTATCAAATATTTAGGTCAGCAGACGTTGATACCTAAAACCTGCTGGCAAATATTGCGTAGAACAAACGGCGTAAAAACATTTTACTGCTTGAAGATAAAAGGGACAAATGAAGCAAACAAGTAATTCTGATTCACATTTTCCATATGGATACTTTCTCACGCGCTCAACAAAATAAACTTTTTTTTTTTTAATATCAACGTAGTACAAAATAATGCTCAACGATCAAACTCACGACTTCTCACGTTTTTAATCTTCGGGAACACTTGTATAAATAAAACGTGAAATTTTTTTTTCTTAGACTAAAGATAGAAGACTACTTGAGGGTATCCGTACATATTTTTGTACGGTTCTTGCAATTAATAATCTCTGCCGATTAATATTTGTAAATAAAGTACTCCAAATTAAGAGAAGACTAGAGAAATTAATAAAATGACTAAGAGTTTGTTAAATAAAGCCGGTATAGGACTAGATTAATAATGAAATTTTTCTTTTAATGCAGACCTTTAAAATTAAATCTTTGTCGTTCAACAAAAACTATGATAAAGAAGTGTTCACGTCGAAGTATTTCAAGTATTTTATTCATTGTGTGCGAAGGGACAAAAGTAGACAGCACTAACGACTTCTAAACATTACTTTGTACTCGACCAAGGAACACAATCGATTTATTATCATTCCATCTTAGCATTTTATGTCAAGGTCCCTTTTATTACATGTCAATACAGCGGCTATCGGCGTAGCCGTCAATGATTAACTACTGTTAACTATAGCTAGGACGTTGCAATTGTTCTGAAACATCGTTCGGATTTTTAAAATTGTATTAACATTTGGTCCGTTAACTGAGTTATACAGCAGTCCAAATCACGCTGCATTAGATTCAACACAGTCTATTTCCAAAACGCTGACGTATGTTCCGGCAATTCCGTGCAGATGTTACACATCGGATTCGTGAAAAACATTCGCATAGTGCTTTATTAAAATATGCCATACAGCGTAATTTTTTTATGTAAAAAGATGGCAATCGAGCTGGTACACCTGATGATAAGTGATAACCATGATGATGGCCATTAATGTCTATTTAACAACACCCGTAGAGTTACCTATAAGGGTTACCTTTCAATGAAGTAGGCCACGGTTACATCACTCACCACACGAAACCTAAAAGTATGGCAGTTCACTTCGCACTGGTCTTCTGTGAGGTGTAACAGCGAAGACTGCTGCGTGGCCTGAATACCGGCAAAAAATTATAACAAAATAATATCTTAATGTAAGTAAGGTAACTTTAATCTTAATGTTACTCTTACTTATATTAATGTAGGTATTTTTGTTATATTAGTTTTAGCCTTCTCTCTTTACTATTACGCGAACTTATTTTATCTACGCATCGCTAAGTTGACTAGTAGAGAATGCCTCAAAGTCCACCTATACATAATATTTGTGTAAAGTTTGATATTTAAATAAATAAATACAGAACACGAATTGTTCATGCTACCTATTTCAAATCAATAATACTGGCGTATTACGATCGTACAAGTCGGTAGTAATAAAAAAATACACAATGCAAAAAAATTTAATATGCCCTGAAATTGACAAATTGTTCTTTTACTAACTAACTTGTCGTTTCCAGAAGTAGTTGTACGTGTATCATTGATGTTTCACCTTTCCCGTGAAATGCAAAGGAAAGGAATAAATAACATCTAATTACAATTAATTCGTGTTGGAATGTTTGCATGTCCAAACGCCTTTAACACTGGCTACTGGTTAGATATGATCTGTCGAATAATGTAAATAATTAACGCCTGGAAAATTTTAACTTTATATAATTCTTATGTACTTCAATGTACTTATAAAATAAACGCATCGCGGCCCCAATTGATCCACACGTGTGGTAACTCTCGTAATTTGGATGAACAGATTAATCGACGCCATTTTTTAAGGAATGCGAAATATAATGTGTTCATTGAGTAAACTAACGGCATATGTTTGATACGTAAAAATAAAAGTGGAAAAATACAATGAAACTTTCGTATGGAGCAAACCGAGAAGTGTAAGCAATGGCATAATAATATTTAGGTTTTCACTTTTCACGACAATTAACCAACGCTGCAGATCTAAATGCACACATTTTCTAATCTCTTAAATCACAATCTCTTAATATCGAATGGCCATTTAAGTCCTTTTACTTGTTTTAAGGTTTTAAGATGTAACTTTATGTTTCGCTTGATATACCTATATACAGCGTGTCGTTACCATCGCGACAATAAATGAACACACGTCTAACGCTACTTGCCAATAATCATAAAAAAATATTAACGTTAAACAAAATCCATAATTAAAAAAAATATATTTTTCAAACAAACTAATTAAGTAAAAAAGAAACAAAATTTGTAACATCCTATACAACTCGCGCCACAGCGTCGTATTACAAGCCTCTCCTTCTAACAGTATGTTTTGTCTCTTTTAAATTTATTCAACCCATACATAAGCTTTGTGACCTTTACAAATGAACTTTATGTTACGCTTTTATAGGTAAGGCTGTTCTAATATTCTTTGTTTTGGAAAATTTAATAACTCTGTCAATATTGATGTTTAAATAATTTAAATGTTTAAGACAACTTTAACAAGTTATCCCCTATATATGTGTTCATTTATTGT